GGGCAACAGAGTGAGACTCCAACTCAGAAAAAAAAAAAAGAAAGGCAGAGGCCCTGCCTGACAATGGGTTCTTCAATGTTCTTGGCATGAAACCCAACTCCTTGCCATTGCTCCTGCTGACCCCTATGACAACGCTGGGCTCCTTTGGCTGCTGCCACAGGGCCTTTGCACTTGCCATTCTAGTTTCTCCACCCTAGCCCTGATGCTCCCCTGATCTGATTAGCTTCTGCAGTAGACCTAAGGCTTGTCTCTTTCTGTGGGAGCACTGCCATAATGACACGTGTCTAGGCAGGACTGCTGGATACATGTTGACCTCTCTCACAAGACTGGAAGCTTCAGGAGGGTAGGGATCCTGCCTGTCTTGCCCTGCTGTCTCCTTTCACCCAGCAAAATGCCACAGTGGTGGGTGATCAGAAAAGAACTGAAAATTGACGCACTGGTGCAATGGGCATCTTCTGGTTCGTGCCTCGGAGCCCCCAGAAAGATGTTTCCCCCAGTTCCCGCCACTCGGGGCACTCACAATTCTCTTGAAGTTCTTCTGCCAGATGGCGACCTGATGCAAGATGTCCAGCCTGGGGGAAGGAGGGAGATGGAGAAGCCTGACCCTGCTTTCCACCGTTTCCTGGCTCCCGTCACACTACAGGGCAACCCAAGCTCCCTACGTGACCTGCCCCTGCCCCTCTCTGGCTCCATCTTGCACCTCCTCCAGCCAAGGGTGCAAAATGGAGCCCAGCCTGAAGGTCTTTACATCTGCTGTTCCTTTTGCCTAAAACACTCTTCCCTTGGCTGGTTCCTTCTCCACCTACAGGCGTCAGCTCAATCAGTCTTTCTTTTCAGGCTGTCTCAAACACCTGGCTTCATGTGAGCTTCCTGCTTCAGCCTCCCAAAAGTGCTGAGATTACAGGCTTGAGCCACCATGCCTGGCTTATAACTTTTTTACCTTTTTATTTTTGTTTAAATCAAAGAGGGCCAGAGGCAGTGGCTCATGCCTGTAATCCCAGAACTTTGGGAGGTCAAAGTGAGAGGACTCCTTGAGCCCAGGAGTTTGAAATCAGCCTGAGCAACATAAGGAGACCTCTCTACAAAAGAAATCAAATTAGTTGGGTGTGGTGGTGTGTTTGTGGTCCCAGCTACTAAGGAGGCTGAGGCGGGAGGGTTGCCTGAGCCCAGGAGGTTGAGGCTCGGGTAAGCCGTGATCGTGCCACTACACTCCAGACAGGGTGACAGAGCGAAGGATTTCCTTCCCCCAAAAAACACATGGAAAATAAAAAATTTCCCCAAGAGTACCAGCCCAGGATGTCCTGATTCCTGAACTCCCGCTCCTCATTCCTCTGCCACCCAGGTCACCATTACAGTCCCCACTCACCTGGGCGCGGTGGCGAACACGTCGGGGTGCAGCTCGGTCAGGCCCACGCGCTCCTGCTCGTAGCCCCGCAGGGACTCGACCCAGGCCTGCACCAGGCACCGATGAGCGGGCACCGGGAGCTCGCACTTGCGCAACACGGGCACCTGGAGACCTGAAGCGATGGGGAGTCGGGGGTCAGCGTCAGGGTACAGAGTCAGGGGCTCCCGTCGCGGCCCCCCCCGGGGCGACCCGGGCGGCCCCACCCGCGCTCGCCCACGACTCCGCCTGCTCCACCGGCCGCGCCGACCCTTCCGTCAGCGAGTTCAGGCCCTGGGAGGGGTGTCCGAAAGTGAGAGGGGGACCTGGACCCCCGACTTTCGTCCTCCGACCCCGCCTCCCGTCCCGGGCCTCACCCGGCAGCCCGCGGGCTGAAACCAGGCCCGCGTCCCGGCCCGGATCAGCCGCAGCATCGCCGCGAAGCCCGCCATGCCACCGGAGGTCAAGGCCGCACGCAGCGCCTCGAGATGACGTCACGCCCGCGCCCCCCCCGTCCCACTCGGACACGGCGGGGTGTGCAAGGGCGAGGACCGAAGGCCCGGCCCAGCGTGCTCCAACCTCCGCCCCAGGGCTGACCCCAGACCTCAGCCTTCACTCCAGGCCTAACGACCCTCTGCAACACTTATGAATGCGACTTCAGGACTAGAAACGCCTTCCCGCGTAGGCCCCGCCCCCTAGCGTCCCGCCCCCAACAAGGAGAAGGACTCCAGCCAATGAGACCGGCTCTCATTGATGCAGCCAATGAGCATTAAGTCTAGAAGGATGGCCCGCCCACGACTGGGAGCTTCTGGGGGGGCGGACACCTAAGGGAATTCAGCCAATAACCATTAAGCGCTTGATGTAGGTCCCACCCACGGGCCACGCCCTCATTGAGCCGCCAAGTCTCGTGGAGGGAGTTTCTGTGTATCCAATTCTGTAGTTTTGCTTGTTTAAAGGCAGGGCCGTGTGGCCCACAGATACCGCTCAGGACTGGGTCTGCCGGACCTTGCCTCCCCGCCTAGATTCCTTAGGGCAGGGATATGTCCCCCTCAGACCCCTCAGATTAGGTTTATGTGTTCCCCTCCCCCAGGCCAGGGTCCTGTCCCCTCTCAGACCTTTTGAGGCTCTCCAAGGACACGCAACCCTGGATTGCTTCTCTCGTCCGAGCACCCAAACATGCAAACGCCGATTTTAGGTTCTTTTTTTTTTTTTTTTGAGTTGGAGTCTCACTCTGTCGCCCAGACTGGAGTGCAGTGGCCGCTCCTGGCCACCGCAGCCTCGACTTCCAAGTAGCCGGAATTACAGGCATGCGCTACCACGCCCGGCTGATTTCTTGATTTATTGTAGAGATGAGGTCTCGCTGCCCAGGTGGGTCTCGTACCCACGGGCTCAGGCAATCCACTCACCTCAGCCTCCCAAGGCACGGGATTACAGGCTGAGCCACCGAGCCCGGCTGATTTTTAGGTTCCTTATCATGTTCCCCGCTCTAACTCTAGGGGACAGCACTTGCCCATAGCAGCCTTCCCTATCCGGCCAGTGCAGTCTGGACTGAGATCGGCGGCTGACAACATGATCTCCAAGCCAGTCTCAGTTGCCTCATCTGGAAAATGGGGTGGTTGTGAGATTTCAGTGAAATAATGGAGGATAGCATCATCATCATTATTATTATTATTATTTTAAGTTGGTGTCTGACTGTGTCGCCCAGGCTTGTCATCAAAGACAAGCAAGAGCCAAGACAAGAGTGGGGACAGACCGTGGAGGACTTGAATGCTGTGCTAAACATGTAGGCTTTTTTGAGGGGCATCTGATACGTGATAGTTTTTGGATATTTTTGTGAAATATTAATGAAAATTTAGTGCGTTTCATTGTGTATTCTATCCTTGAAAAAAAATGATTGTCAATATGTGCTTAAAACTTTATGTATGGGCCGGGCGCAGTGGCTCACGCCTATAATCCCAGCACTTTGGGATGACAAGGTGAGAGGATTGCCTGAGCCCACATGTTCAAGACCAGCCTGGGCAACTTGGCAAGACCTCATCTCTACCATAAAGCAAAAATTAGTCGGGTGTGATGGCGTGTGCCTGTGGTTACAGTTACTTGGAAGGCTGAGGCAGAAGGATCACCTGAGCCCAGCAGGTCCAGGCTGCAGTGGCCGTGAGTGTGCCACTGCACCCCAGCCTGGGCGACAGAGCAAGACTCTGACTCAAAAAAAAAGTGGAGGGGAGCAGGCACGGTGGCTCAAACCTGTAATCCCAGCACTTTGGGAGGCTGAGGCAAGGGGATTGCCTGAGCTCACACGTTCGAGACCAGCTTGGGCAACTTGGTGAGGCCTCATCTCTACAATAAAGCAAAAATTATCTGGCCGTGGTAGTGTACACTTACTAGTTCCAACTACTTGGAAGGCTGAGGTGGAAGGATCTCCTGAACCCAGTAGGTCGAAGCTGCAGTGGCCATGAGCATCCTACTGCATTCCAGCCTGGGTGATAGAGCGAGACTCCAACTCAAAAAAGAAAAAAAAACGAAAACTGTATGAGGTTTTTTTTTGGAGTCAGGGTCTCACTGTGTTGCTCAGGCTGGAGTGCAGTGATGCCATCACAGCTTATCACAGCCTCCAACTCCTGGATTCCAAGCAATCCTACATCAGCCTCCCAAGTAGCTGGGACTACAGGTGTATACCACTACACCTAGCTAATGTTTTTGCTTGTTTGAGTTGGAGTCTCACTCCATCACCCAGGCTGGAGTGCAGTTACTCACTCACGGCCACCCCAGCATCGACCTGCTGGTCTCGGGCGATCCTTCCACCTCAGCTTTCCAAGTAGCTGAAACTACAGGCACGTGCTACCACGCCCACCTAATTTTTTGATTTATTGTACAGGTGATGTCTCGCCAAGTTGCCTAGACTGTCCTCGAATCTGTGGACTCGGGTAATGCTTTCATGTCAGCCTCCCAAAGTTCTAGGGTTACAGACTTGAGCCACCGCGCCCGGTCTTTTTTTTTTTTTTGTAGAGACCAGATCTCCCTATGTTGCCCATGCTGATTTTAAACTCTTGGGCTTGCTGGGCGTGGTGGCTCACACCTGTCATCCCAGCACTTTGGGAGATGGAGACGAGAGGATTGCCTGAGCTCAGGGGTTTTGTTTTTGTTTTTGTTTTTTGAGTTGGAGTCTCACTCTGTCGCCCAGACTGGAGTGCAGTGGCCGCTCCCGGCCACCGCAACCTCGACCTGCTGGGCTCCGGCGATCCTTCCGCCTCAGCCTTCCGAGTAGCGGGAATTACAGGCGCGCGCTACCACGCCCGGCTGATTTTTTGATTTATTGTAGAGATAAGGTCTCGCTGCCCAAGCGGGTCGTGAACCCGTGGGCTCAGACAATCCACTCACCTCACATCAGCCTCCCAAAGGCATGGGATTACAGGCTGAGCCACCGAGCCCGGCTGAGCTCAGGGGTTTGAGACTATCCTGGGCAACTTGGCAAGACCTCGTCCCTACAATAATAATAATAAAATTAGCTGGGCATGGTGGCTCACACCTGTGGTTCCAGCTACTTGGAAGGCTGAGGCAGAAAGGATCGCCTGAACCCAGCAGGCCAGGCTGCAGTGGCCATGAGCATGCCACTGCACTCCAGCCTGGGCAACAGAGCGAGACTCCGACTCAAAAACAAAACAAAACAAAGCAAAAACCTCTTGTGCTCAAGCCATTATCTTGCCTCAGCCTCCCAAGGTGCTGGAATTATAGGCATAAGCCACCTCACCAGGTCTATTTTGTTTTTTATTGTTTTATTTTATTTTATATTTTTAGAAAGCAGGATTTATTGAGAAGACAGAAAAGCTCCCATAGTGGGAGGGGACCCCAGGGAATTACCCACCAGGGTTATTTGGCAGCGTTAAAAGGTCTTTTTTTTTTTTTAAGGTCTTAATCCTTGTTTTGTAGCATTTTATCTTTTCATTGGTTCTTCACATACCTGGTAAAGAAAATTTCAAAAACTACAAAAGGAGAACTAGAGTGAAAAGGCTGTGTCCTCTGAACTCTGACTTCTGTCCCCTGCCCCCTGGTTTTTCTTGCAGAAATAATTACTACAACCAGTTCTGTGTCGATTCCCAAAACCAGTTTATGGTTTTACAGGCTGATTTGCAAATCTGCCTTGTGCTGGGAAGTTTAGATTTTATGTTGCAAATGACAGAACAAGACTTAGTCGCTTAATGACTTATTAGGCACCAACTGTGTACCACCAGGACATTGGAAAATCCAGCAGACACCCTTGAGAAACAGTTTAACGCAGAAGGCTGAAGGGTCACAATCAGGGAGGGGAGTTGACAGGGTCTGTGGGCACTGGCAGGAGGAACTGCTAACCATGGGGTAGGGTCTCAGAGTGGTGTTCTAAAGCTATAACCTGAGGGCTAAGCCTTGAGGACTTTGTCCATAGGAGAAAGTATATTTCAGGCTGAGGGAACAGCAGTTGCAAGCACCGGGAGTGAGAAAAGACTGACAGAGGCCGAGGTTAAAAGACCTTTCTGACCACTACCGGCTTCCTTTTCTGATTCATCCATTTGTGCTGGCTCCATCTTAGGGTCTTTGCACTGCTGTTCCTTCTGCCAGGAAAATACTTTTTCCAGAATTCCACATACTCACGCCTCTGCCTCCTTTCATTCTTTGTTTAAATGTCACCTTCTCATAGGAGCCTGTCCTGACTACCCTAAAAACAGCAATCTCAGCCGGGTGCGGTGACTCTCAGCATTTTGGGAGGAAAAGGCGAGAGGCTTGCCTGTGCCCACAGGTTTGAGACCAGCCTGGGCAATTTAGCGACACCTCATCTCTACAATAAATCAACAAATTAGATGAGTGTGGTGGTGTATGCCTGTAGTTCCAGCTACTTGGAAGGCTGAGGCAGAAGGATCATCTGAGCCCAGCAGGTCGAGGCTGTGGTGGTTGTGAGTGTGCCGCTGCCCTCCAGCTTGGGTAACAGAGACTCCAATTCAAAAAAACAATGACAACAACAACAAAAACAGAGAAAGCTCTCTGTGTCTCTCCTGGATCTCAAGGTATCTATCCCCGAGGTCACTGGGTACATAAGGTGCTCATAAATGATTATTTACCCAATGGCACTGGATTTGTGTGGAATCTAGTTGACTCCAGGATCTGCCCTATTGGCTGGGTGTCCTTGGGTGAGCAGCGAGCTCTTTTGGAGTGGTGTCCTCCTAATCTGAAAGTGAGGCACACGCAAACCCTCTCCTGCTAAGCCCTGTTGAGGGTTGGCGTTCTCCCTCCCTCCACTCTGGTTCCTCACTGTCCTCAAAAGAAGGAGCCTGTAAACACCTGAGTAAGACCCTCGGGAACTTCCACTTCTCATAGAGCCGAAACCAAAGTCCTCACGCAGCCCAGAAGGCCCTGTGGGATCTGCCCTCACCTCCCACCTCCCACCGTCTCTTGAAGTATCATGCGGCTTCAAGCAAACTGCCTCCTCTCCAGAACC